GGCTTCTCTAAGCGCTGTACAGAACGATGACAACGACAATAAAAAAATACACAAGATATACACAATGAGAGGAGACAGTAGATGGGGGTACTGATTACAGTAGGAGCAGAGGGGTAAAGAACTGATCCGTTATCTAAAGGTTCTTCTAAAGGAGGTTAGCAGTTGCGAAGTATGAACCTGGCACTTGCTTGGAGCATTTTATTGTTGTTTCTCACAGGCTTCTTTCTTCTCCCCCGCTGGAAATACACCATCAAATACTGGTTTTGTAGCGCGTACCTGGCAAATATCAGATATATCAGCGGCTTGCACAGGTGGGCCATTTTCCCCATAAAGACGGCTGATTGGTGGAAAGCCTTCTTTTCCGATTGTCTTTTGCTCCCTGTCTGGGATCGAGAGAGACCTGCTGTGCCTATCCTGGTTTTCCCAGGCCTGATGGAACATGCCTTGTTTTTTTCCCCCTAACAGAGTCGACGGATTGTTCCCCGGCTGTAGAACCCCGCGCCCCACGATGTTGGCCTGTCTGCAGAGGAGGCAGAACCCCCCTGCCCAGCACCTCGTCTGCCCCAGCAAGACCCTGGAGGCCCCGCACGCCACCAGCCGCAAATGTGAGTTCAGGGGCGCTGTTCCATGGAGACCGGCGGCAGGTCTCCAGCATCAGATCTAACCCCTTGCTTTGCTTCTGGTCCAGCTCAGTTTCCATAGGGAAATCACTTTTTAATATGAATACAGAGAGGCTTTAGAAACACAACCAGAGTCTATGGGTTGATTGTGTATAGCATTGATTGTTGAGTAGCCATAAACATTTACTTGTTTTAAATGCCTCTTGGTATATAATTTATATAACAAATATTGAAAGCCTTTTAAATATGTCAAACTGGTCCAGCATAGTTGCTGCTTAATTGTAGCTGTAGCCCGATGGAAACATGAAGGTACTGCATGTCTTTAGAGCTGACACTGTGTTGCAGTGGATTCAGAAGAAGTTGGCTCAAATTTACGAGAGTGATGGCAAATGTTGCATTAGTTGTAAGATGGCAATTAAACGTAATTGTGAGTAGTATGTGTATGTTTCTTTGATTGTGTGCACTCATGTACAGTACATGTATATCTTACCAGGATCAACATTTAGGTTAATGGTGTGAAGAGCATACAGTCGCTATGAACTTTGGGAATTAATATTTATTAACTCTCGACATTTGACAGACCTATGGTTTCCCTTTATAATGTATGTGTGTATATAGCTGTAAAATGCATATGCAGTACATTAAAAAGGAAATAAAGGGAGAGGAAAACTACTGAGTCATGGTACAACAGGTAAATAACGGAGTCGTTAATATTGGAGCACTCGTTCTGCTGAAGTGAGAGTGGCAATCCCAGTGTGCTGACACAGCTCCAGGGGCTCATCTGCCCTCTACATCACACTAAGGACCAGAGTAGCCATAAACATTTACAGAGTTGAGCCTATTGACAGGGGACATGAGTTATATCTATAACAAGACTGCAAAGGTTGATAGCTTCTCTTTTTTATGAGGTGGACTGTTTGCTTGTGCTCTCCTTTATATTGAATAACAGTGGTGCTCTGAAACAAGTGATAAAAAAAAAACATTGTATGAAGCAAGCTGCTTCTGCTTTGAAATGGCAAACACATTATTTCCACAAAAGTGCGGTGGTTTGTTTGTTTAGAAGTATTCTTGTCCATGCACTAAAGGATCTAAGCCTAAGTTGTGGATAAATTGTGGGCTCATAAAAAGAAATTAGGACGTGATCTGTGTGGTTAATGTGGTTGGACGTGCAGTCTGATCTGTGAGGTGCAACCAGAGAAAGCTCTTCTATTTCGTGTCCTAACCTTAGCACAGGCCGAAAGCAGCCTGCGAGGGAGAACAAAGCATCTTTAAGCTTTTTAATATGACCTTGCGCCCATCCATCCTTCTTTCGAAGCGATCATCGTAATAAGACGGCGATGGCTTTCTGTGAGAGCTGGCTGAGGTTCTGCTCTTCGGCACTTCAGAAATGTTCCAGCTAATTACTCCTTCAGCCAGAGCCCTTGGCAGCCAGCTCTCGCAACGGGAGAACGAGGACAAGGTTACGCTTTCGCACGCAGTTTTTATCTGCGCTACATTTGGTCCTTTTTTAGAAGAGAAAAATCGAAGTGAGCCTGTGAAGAGTACTTTCTGCTTGGACAAGAGCGCAGCTCCATTCAGAGGGCGCACCAGAGAGGAGGTTTATTAATGAGGTTATCCCTGCGACTTCGCAGGAGTCAGGAGTTAATTGACAGGCGGGACTCTGCAGCCCCGTGGTCTGATTCACTCCCCGTCTTTGAGAAGACTGGGCCTTTTCACCTAGGCTTGGTGCTGATTTAGGAGTTTTTATCGCCACCTGAGCAACTTTTGGGGAGTTTAAAGGTAGAAATGTCTACAGCATCACCGAGAACATGAATTCTCTCCAAGTTATCCCTGATATATTGCTGTAAACCTCCATTATAAAACATAAAGAACAGTTTGGTTTTACCTTAAACTTCAACTTCAAAGGGACTTCCCATTTAAAAGCTACACAAACCTGTGATTGCACTGACACTTTGTAAATGAAGAACATTTCGCTTTGTCAGTTGGAACCTGCCATTCTTTTGTGAGTTATCTTACCATGGTTTAGAAAACCAAAGAATAACCCAACATATCAACTTCTCTTGGCTTGACAAAGGGCTGGGATAGCTGCTGCAGCTTGAGATTCGGCAACATCAACATAAAATTGGTTCTTTCTGGGAGAGGAAAAAACCATACCCCAGATGACTTTATCACTTATCAATTCGGTGAAAATGCCAACGTACGGTACAAACACAAGGAGCTCAGTCCAATTCGTACTAACGAAGGTGCGTAAGATAGTTCATAGAGATCAGAAGTTGAAGAAGGAGCAGAATTTGTTGTCTTGCTGTGTTGGCCTCTGCCACCTATTCCCCATCTCGTCTCAGGGCGCGCTACTGGGGACAGGCAGTGCAAGTGCAGGTACAGCACAGGATATGGGCAGACGAGAGCAAAGCTGCCCCTGAGATGAGAAGAGAGCTTTAAAATCCCGATTTGTGTTTGCTATCCTTTGCACTAAAGCGATAGGGGCCAACAGCATAATGAACAGAGAAAATAAAACACCCAAAAGGAGTAACTCCCACGTGCAGATGTGGTGCCCTCCGTTACAGCAGGCCTGCATGATCCATCGATGCAACTCCCCATTAAAAACCCTTCATTCTCCTCGGTAAAAAAGGCTTAACCGGCTCGAACATCAGCTGGAAACATTCAAATCAGCTCGCCAGACAATCAATTCCCAAACGCAGGGCCTAGTGAGCGAAACGAGAGGTGGAGGGCTGTTTCCATTATCACAGTCCTCTCAGCTTCTGGGCAGGCAGAGCGAGAGAGAGAGAGATGAGCGTTTTAAAAATCCATTGACCGCCTGCCCTGAAAAATATCATATTGGATTAGCTTCATGGGGGCGGCCTTTTGATTTTTGCTCGACGCGAATTAAAAGGAATGCCGAGCATTACTTAAATTATAAATCACAGCACAGCTTTCAGCGTGCCCAAATACCCCATGTACGGCTGCACTCTCCCAACGCCAGGCCCTGTCATTTTTAATTAAATCCTGCCTTATGGGTGACATTTTTAGCCTTCTTCCCCCCCCAACCCCCAACCAGCCCTCCTTCATGTCTGTCTGTTACTCCAGTAGATATGGAAATAAAAGAGGAATGCTGTGACAGAGCTAGATCTCTCATTATGTTTAATCCAGAGAGGGCACACTCAATCTAATAGGTATTAATCACATCAAAAGACCCCGTGGGTATAGAGAGCTCATACTGACCCTGCTGCCTCACAGCCTGGTTTCTGTTTTGTTTTTGTTTTTGTGTTTTGGAACTGTTGGGATTTTAACCCTTCATGGCGCCCATGTCACTTGACTTACACGGAGCAATCCAGTCTTTTCTACACATTCAGTTGTGGAGGGGTAGAGAAAGTGAAGGTCAAAAGCTTGGTACAGGGAAGAGTTACTGTTGCATCTCCACAAGAGCATCAAGATGCTCCAACACAAGGTCAGGTCTGTAGCCCTCCCTCCTCCTCTCTAGAAACTGTCAGTGACCTCTCTGAAGGGGTTGTTTTTCCCCCCCTCTTTTGTGGTCTCTTGTGGAAGTTCCGAAATTGTAAAATATAAATTGAGGTTTATACGGTATGTATGGAACAGAATGACATTGGTGCCTGAAGAGTTCTTGTGTTTTCTTACAAGTGTACTTATGCCGAACATTATTAGCTCAGATAATTGGAAATTCTCCTTACAATGCCTTCCTAAGGAAGCAAGATAGCAAGGATATTTTACTAGTTGTGCTAGTTTATTCTCTGGGACGGGTATGTCATGCCTTGTTGAATTGAAGCAAGGTTCCCAATGAGGTGTTTACCAATGCATTTAATTGCATTCGGACAGTGAAGACTCTTGGCAACAGAAGATTTATTAATAATCTCCCATCTCACCTTCTCTGCTTGGGTCTATGATGAGTTTATTGATCAGCCTGGAGAATGAGAAGGAAGGGGCATCTCTGTGACTCCGATCCAGTTTCCTCAGCCAGAGGGTTATCTCCTCGACCTCTCCTCTCACCTCAACATGGCAAAACGAGACTGCCCGAGCCACACCTATCACACTGAAATTTTAAATAGCTCAATGGGAAAGTTCTTTTAACGCTTCAATACACTTTCATTCTGAGCATATATATATATATTTTAAATTGTGCTTGACATTCAGTTTTTGATTACTGTCAGTGATTGCTTTTTCCTTTTGTTCGGTTGTTCTTTAACTAAGATCGAAGAGCCATTTGGGGTTACAGGAGAATTACATAGTAAATTGTGGGCACTAATCAATACAGTAAAATGTGTGGTTCCCTGTGTATTGAGTGCGAGGCTAGGTTATAAAAGCCAGAATAACAGATGGGGGATAAATTATTATATCCTATTACAGTTTGCTTTTTTAGAGTGTACAATAGTCATCAATTTCAGAATTATAATCGGTTACCGTACACAACAAAGACGGCACAAAACTTTCTTATACTTTGTAAAGAATTGAAGCTTCTTCGTTAAAAAAAAAAGTTTACCGACCCATACATACAGTGGAATTTTAAGCAGAGGATGAGGACATCTCTCATGAATACTGTTGTGGTCTTATCTAGGAATCTTTTCGTTGTGTGGACTAGTGGAGAAGTAGCCCTCAGCATTTTGGGTGGGTTTGAGAAAAGCAGTTTGAATCTGAAGAGAAGATTTCTGCTTTTGACCCCTGTGGGCAGTGACTGGATTGAATTAGTTGAAAGCAATTTGCAAAGTGTTTTTATCACCTTGACTCTCCAGGCAGAGAGGTTGGGCAGAAATGGGCAGATTGATCTCAGTTCATGATTCTCCCAAGATTCAGGCATATGTTTCTGGTCTTTGGTTTTTAAATTTCATTCGTGACCATTCTTTGATTTTTTTTTTATTAATCATTTTATTTGTTGTTGACCCAAGCCCTTTTGTAATACATTGCCACAGAGTACTCACAGATTTGTAATAGCAGTTAACCATCTTGGGTCTGGCATTAGAGGATATGATGTCACT